CCCTGTGAATTAATATAAATGTATTTTTTACCCATCACACATGATTTTTTTGCAGGTACCCGACCCGGCACAGGACTGGTCTACCAACTGCACATTAGCCTAGTACAGTATGTCTGTAGCAACTTGTGCCAAGGCCATGTTGCTACTCTGTAACCTTGAAACATGTAAGGGTAAATCCATCTTGAGCAGTTTTAATCAGAATCCATGATGCAGACAGTAGCACTCTTACCTGTTAATGTCATCCCTTCACTTGTGCTTGCACCTTTTATATGTTATTTTAAACATGACCCTTTTAAATGTGGTAAAACATTTGCATATCTAGACATACGCCACTCCAGTTCAGTTCCCTAGTTGCCCCCGATGGTTATAGCCATCGGTTGAGTTGGCGCCGCAGATGACTGCCTCGGTTCTGTACTGAAAATAAATTCCTTGTGTGTAACATACTTGGCCAAATAAAGGTGATTATCCTTATCCTTCCAGTTGAAAAGGGTTTTGAGAGTTATAGATACCATATCACTGCAGTCTGCTCCTTTTCATGTACAGCAGGTTGCAGCAGTCAGCGATGGTGGCTTGAGAAGAGATTCCCTATAGAAAGGAGGGAGACACATTTGCTAAAGCAGATGAACATGTTTGTGGAAAATATTAAATAGAACTGACCATAGTTGTCACTGAGATGCCAGATGCCACTATTTTCTGTAAATTAAAGTTCAGGCCTGTATTTATGGTCTGTAGAATTTAGAGGTTAGGGTATGCCAAACAAAAACACAAACGTATCTCGTTTCTACTGTCAGTTTTGCATATTTATCTGCTAAGTTAAGACAACCATTAACTACCTGTGGGAATGTGAGAGCTAAAGACTGACCTCTCCTGCTAGCTTTTAACAGATGACGCTCCAAGTGTAGATGTGTCCAACCAGTATGTCCACCAGACGACAGCCAAGAGTTTCAGCCACAGCCAGTAAACTTGTCAGCGACACTCAGCAAGTGAAATCAACAGCAGCTCAACTTCACACAGCTGCTTAACACATTGTCAACAATATCAGTTGTATCAAAGCCCAATTTTGATTGAAAAATGGTTCATTGTTTAGCTCTTTAGGGTTACTGGTTCAGTCTGTGTCTGACAAGGACAATATAAAAATGATGTTATTCAGGGAAATAATACAGTAGTGTGATTTATAATATGTACAGTGATTGTTGCTTATGTATGATTGTTGCCTGTCCCACTGGCTGTCTGTTTCCCACACAGCATGCTGGGAAATGTGGGTTGAACACAGGACCTTTGTGTAAAAGTCATATTAGGAAGAAACGCAGAGCCTGCACTGAGGTTTCTCTTCTGTTCGTGCATGTTTACATTTGTGTGAAAAGAAGTAGTGTTTCATCATGGTAGGGCTGCAGTGGTATATCGGTTTATACCAAAGATATGAAAATTGACTGTTATCATACCGTGCACATTTTCTTATTACTGGTACTGAAGGAAAAGACAGTGTGTGTGCACCTTTCTTCCCCGACTATATGTTAGACTACGCAACAGATGGCAGAAATCACCTAACTCCATTCAGCGAAAAAGAAATTAAAATCAGCAGTGGGGGATTATCTCTGAAAAACGAACACCTTTGAGAACACCATCTCTCCGTGCAGGTCAAAGTTCGTGTCCTGATTATAACTTTAATCCCAAATAATAAATGTCACTTATTAAATGTACTATCAAAATAATTCTCCACGTTGTCTGTTTATTCGCTAATCAGTGACTTACAAAAGAATTGGCACCGATCCCGATCTGACCCCAGAAACACACACAAACGTTCTGGCTCACACAAATAAGGTCTGGCGGCGCTCTGGCTCACCTACAATAAATTAACAACTATTTTGAATGTTGGTTTAGAGCACTGTGATGGCACGTCTCCCTACTATCCGAAGTTTTACAAACCGGTCAGTCGATTAATGGATAAAATAGTCAGCAGGTTAATCCGCAAAATAACCAGTAGTTGCACTTGGATACAAACTTGTCCAGCAGAACTCCACCTCAGCCAGTCACGTCCTGCTGTTAGGTCAAAGGGTTTATTTGTCATATGCTAGAAGTTGCTGAGGATCCTAGGCGACATGCCAAACCTCCTCAGCATCCTCAGGAAGTACAGCCGCTGTTGGGCCTTCTTGACCAGCTGTGTGGTGTTAAGTGTTTAAGTGAGGTCCTCAATGATGTGGACACCCAGGTATTTGAAGCTGCTCACCCTCTCCACTTCGAGCCCCCAGATGAACAGCGGCCGATGAGACCTCCTCTCCTTCCTCATGTCCACTATCATCTCCTTCATCTTGTCTGTGTTGAGGCTGAGATTATTGTCCTTGCACCATGACACCAGACCGGCCACCTCCCTCCTGTAGGCTGCTTCACAAACTTCAGGATGATGTTGTCTTTGTGGGAGGCGACATAGTCGTGGGTGAACAGGGTGTAGAGGACGAGACTGAGGACACGTCCCTATGGGGTGCCGATGTTTGTAATAATGCTGGCTGAAGTCCTGTTGCCAATCCTGACAGTCTGGGGCCTGCCAGTCAGAAAGTCCAGGAGCCAGTCACAGAGGGTGGGGTGCAGACCTAGTGTGGACAGTTTGTGGGTGAGTTTGTGGGGGACAACTGTGTTGAAGGTGGAGCTGTAATCAATGAAGAGTATCCTGATGTAGGAGTCTCTATTTTCCAGGTGAGAAAGGGAACAGGGGAGGAAATTACATTATTAATGCAGGACTTTTTGTAACAGAGCCAGGTACATTAGATTTGTCTATCTGTAGGTGTCTAGTATGTAAAACTAATTTCTGTAGTCTGTCCTCTTTGGTAGAGGAATATCTGACATGACTGATTGCTGGTGAGCTAAGAATGTATACTAATTCAACTGGACATTTTGCAACTTAGGATCTAGAAAGGTGCCTTTGCTTTTGTTGTTTATATCATTGTAGTGACTGCACTGGGGAAACTGGGTTTCAGCTGGCGGTGCGGGCTCTAGCATGACCTTGACTTGCTCTGCTGATTGCTGCAGAAGCCGCTCTTGAGTGGCTGGCAGGCGGGCTGCAACACAGTGAGGCAATTGTGCTCCTCTGGCATTGTGAAACACTAACTGACTGACCACTCTACTGTCTGACCCTTGAGCAAGAAGGGATGAATGAAGGCCACTGTCCTGCTGTCCCGCTAGCAGTTTCTGAGACTGAATGAATGTTATGTACTGGCGCTCTTGACAGCAACGACAAGCTGCGGTGCTCACTGCAGAGTCACTGACAGAGAGAATGAAGCAGACTGAGCAGCTGCATCAGCAGCACTGCACTGGTGCAGGATGGAGGGAGTCGAAATAATGTAAAGGTGTCAGTGCAATGTCAACTCATGCCAGAGATATTAATAACCATAGCTGGCAAGTACAACCACATTTGCAGTTCTGGCCCATTGTGTTGAGGTCACCAGCTTTTGAAGTATGTATTTGTTTTAGAAATGTAGGTGAAGCGTGCTCAATCTGTTTTACACGTGTGTGTGTGTGTGTGTGTGTGTGTGTGGTACCTAATTGGGGTAGGTGATGTGAATAAAATTGTCTTTCACAGCAGATGTACAGTATATAGTGATATCGGCGTATACAGTAATTTAATACCTGGAAAATCAATGCAGAATCTGTTTGTGGATAAACTAAGCAGACCTGTTTTTGTTTTATCCAACAAGGCCAATAGTGGGCAAATCAAGGTGCTTCATTATATACAAAAATAACTATGTTGTATTGGAGTATATTGGAGTATTCCTGCTCTTGCTACTTATGCTGGCCTTACATTAGAAGACTATGGTAAGACTAAAAAAAATACACACCCTCTCACATCTAAAGACAATGTGCCATTAGTGTTTAGTCATAGACTATGATTTTGCAGGGTCATTATTTTCTCTGGAGACCACTTCCCATATCCTCCTGCGTTTGGCTACAGCTCTACTTGTGTGTGCAGGGTTTTAATAAAAAAAAAAAAAACAGCCAAAAGGAAAAAGAGAAGACACTGCAGAATGTGGACACGACAATGGTTGATAAGAAAAAGACCGACTTAAACAGCTCAGAACCAAATGACCGAGATGACACAAGTGTGACACAACTGTAGCAAGGCTCTCATGATTTTAATACAATGTTGGCAATTTGTCCCACTGGTAGATTATACTATGGTTACATTGTAATATTGTTTAACAGGGCACGTGCAGTCTCTTTTTCAGAAGCTGAATCTCACACCTTCAGACTAGGGCATTTTAATGTTGCTTGGGTAGGTTTTGGCCACCAGTGAAGCTGTTAGGATGGCAGCAGTTCCTGTAGCAGCAAGGTGTTTGACTGGTTGACCCAGGTTCAGACTCCACCCTGTTTAATTATCCATGAACAGACTATTGCTGCTGCTCCCCATTGCTTTCATTCTTTTTTGGTTTTAAGCCTCCTTCTCTGAATGTAATTGATCTGAAATGTAGTGATGTCTTGGTACAAAATCAGTTTTAGATTTGGTTGTTATAGCCCCATAATTATCTGGCGCCTTGTACCCTTTTGGAGCCTGTAAACGTTTAAGGGTTTTGGGTATAGGATTCAAGTTGAAGATTAATAGTGTATGTGTTTCAATAAAAGGAATATTTGGTTTAGATTGTTTGGAATTCATCTTGGATAATAATATGTGTATAACTCTGTCCCTTTAAAGCTCATCACTTTGAAGACTATGTGTGCACCACGCCGAAGTCGCTGCTGAGAAATAACTTTTTATGCCATTACTTTAGCTGATTCAGAAGCATGTTTATGAAATTTCATTTCAGCTCGACAGGTCAATGTTTGTTATGGCAAAGCATTTACTGAATGGGGTCTGTAAGGGTATACGTACATATAGGATATATTATATATACTATATAATATGCCTAACAGTGATGGTACATTAAGGAGCACTTGCCTTTTTACTCTTGTAGAGATGTTTCAGATTAATGCCATAGTTCAATATTTCATTATTTAATTGCTCTCTCTTGCAGGCTTTCAAAGAGATGCTGTATGCTGCTCAGGACCAGGCTCCATCCATTGAAGGTATCACACACACACACACACACACACACAGTAATGTCTGGTGGCTGGTGGGGATAGGAGCCATGTGGGACTTTAGTAGGGACCTCACTTACATGAACCAAATCGTGATCTTCCTTTAATGACTTAAAGGACCATACCAGTGATTACAACCATTTTCCAGCGATTTCAGGCCATTTAAATATGTTTTCAAAATCAACTCAACAGAACTAATGCATCACAAGGGGACACACGGCTGCACTGGTTTTGTTTGAGCTTCCATCATTTTAGACCTTTAATAGCGCAGTGATTTTTTTTTTAGCTCCTTCTTAGTGGAGACCTGATTATGGAGCTCCACCTTTCATTAGCAATAATGTTTGCAGGCTCATCAGGGAGTACAAAGAAATGACCAGACATGAGTGTTGTAAGACCTTGTCATAAATTTGGCATTTATTTTTACTGTATGGTCTATAAAAATGATTTTGTTGAGTTGTCCAGCAGCCATTTCAGCACATTGTCAGAACTACACAGGAGTGTATATTTTGGCCATAGTACCTGAGTGCAAGGATGATGGGTTGTTTTCCCAGTGAAAATATAATTATGGTGTGTTAAATATGCTGATGTCTTTTAGCAGGCAAAGCACTGATTTCTAAAGTGTGTCTTGTTTTATTTTTAAAATTAAAAAAAATGGCCAAAATACTACAAAGTCTTAAAGGTAACTGCTTAAACTTGTAAAACCACTACTATGGCTCTTCAGATAGACTAACTTTGAAGCCATACAGGCATGTTCAGGCCTTTCTTTCAGGCCTTGACGTAAAACATAACTATAAAGGTTTTGAATACAGTTACAGTTGTATAGGATGATTTCCTGGCATGTGTGTATTATACAAGCCATCAGCGTATTCATATGGACAGTATTTGTCTGTAGGCATCTGACTTGTGAAGTAAAGCCCTTTGATTCATATTAATTACTTAAAATCTGTGCTGGTGCTAAGTGAGTTCTGCTCTAGAAAACCAGGGACTCATGACCTGAGTTTAAGGCCCCCAAGAGTCTTAAAATGTTTTGGAACCTCTACCTCTGTTCTCAGTTTTTATATGACAACTATGTAAGTGACTGTGAGCAGAGCCTGTGATGCAGCACGGTTGTTAGCAGTTTTCTTTGTGACCTAAACAAGATAGTTAAAGCTGTTGTTTACATTGACAACACAGTTAGAGTTCACCCAAAACTCAGATCAGGGCCTTCTGGTGTCTTCTTTGACACTGTATTGTCTAACCTAGGTAGGTGTTTAGTTACTGGCCATTGTCCTCAAACGATGGTCATGTTGTTCATGTAAACAGCATTGTACACAGGTAAATAAAGGTTACATTAGAGTGCATTTGATGGAAGTAAAGTCCAAGAGAGCTGATGGTCACAAAGTTTGAAGGTGTTGCACAGTCCATTTCCAGTGGTAGAATGATGGTGAGCTGTGTTACCCAGACACAGAACTGGGTGATCTGGCAGTCCTGATTGCTTTTTTCAGTGATTGGTCGTGTGTGTAAGCGAGCAGATGGCCACGGCGTTGGTCCGCCATTTTGGTTCAGAAATATCTCTGAGTATATCTGAAATATCTCAACAACTATTGGATGGATTGCTATGAAAGTGTGCACACATTTATGTTTGCCAGAGGCCAGATGAACATATCCTGTGTAGACGAGGATGACCACTGGAACTGCTACTCTGCTTCCAGTGTCCACATGGTCTTTGTCTTGTTGTAAAGACAGTTTTTTTGTTCTTAATTTAACAATGAAATGATGTGTTATGCACTACAGTACATCCTTGTTTTTTACAGTAGGTGCAACTTAACAGTGTAGCCTAAGTTGTAGTTATTGGCTGTAGCTGTTGTAGGAATGGCTCAGTGAGTGACTAACTGGCGGCCTGGCCCGTCTGTGTGACACGATCCCTATATATGGTTCTGTGTTAAATGCAGAGCTCTATAGTCATATGTTGTTATGTACTGTGATGGTGTGATTCATAAGTTGTTCTCATTTTGTGACGGATGAATAAATCCACCCGACTATCACGCTGTCATTTTGTTTTAGTTTTGCCCTTTTTTCCTACTTATTTTAAGAATTTTTCTGTAACTTGCCCTTGACTCAGAGGTACAGCCGACACAGGTAATAACAGCTGGAGAACGATAAATCATGTACACGTGTGTGTGTCCTGCACACAGCTTCACCCCCGGAGAACGATTAATCATGTACACGTGTGTGTCCTGCACACAGCTTCACCCCCGAGAAATGAGCTTCTTTAACATAATGATTGACTCCATCTTTAGTGCTGTTGTATTGGTGTAACATTTACCAACTGTTAAAAGTAGTTCTGCATTTGGAAGACAATTGATTTTCCTCTTTAACATCTAGCTGCTATTTTAGCAATGCCCACAGCATACAAAAGTGGCTCTAACATCTTTAGGCTGCTAATATAAAAGTACACCAAGAGTCTGATTTAGGTGACAAAGGGAGTGGAGAGACGTGGGCAGGTTAGATTTTAGGCATTCGCATGGACATGAAGGTTTGCTATATGACTCCCACTGCCCATTTATCATTCCACTTTTCCTTCCAACTTGTAGTGTGCCCAACTTACTGCTGTGTTTCTTTTGCTCACTCTGTTTACCGTAGATTACTGTCTGTATCCCTTGGTCTTTGTGTCTCCCTCTTCATGTCACTGACTTTCTAGGAACTGAAGTTACAAAATTCTGTCAGATATACAGTAGAGCTGATACAAGATCAGTGTTTATTTGCAAAACAAATGAAAGACACTTTCACCACAAAAACTCCACTGTGCAGAAGAAGCTGAGAGAAGACTCAGAGTTTTCAGTTAACCACAAGGTAATGATTATTTAATGGTAGTGGCATTAGTTTTAGGTTAAATTTCACAGAAATGGCACATTTGCTGGGTTTGCTGTTTTGTTTTGTGTGTTCTTGTACCTACTATATAGTGAGGACCGATAAAGTATTTTTTTGTTACAGAGTGAGGACATTTTTATTACATGAGGATATTTTGTCCTCACTGTGTGAATCACCTTTTTGAGGGTTAAGACTTGGCTTTAGGGTTCAGGTTAGAATTAGGTTTAGTATTAGTGTTTGGTGTTGGGCATTTAGTTCTGATGGTTAAGTGTTAGGGTTAGGGGTTAGGGAATGCAATATGTCAGTGAGTGTCCTCACAAAGATAGTACATTTATGTGTGTGTTTTTAAGTAGTAATACACGTAACTCTTAGTCAAGTTTGGAAATGAGCACTGTTCAGTTGTACGACATAACATGAACAGTATAACGAGGATTCTTAGGAGGCTGTCCAGCCGGGCTAATTGGCTGTTAAATGATGAGGAGACACACCAAAATGGTGCCCTTGCAGATTGCTGTGCAATCTGAAACAACCTATCTCATTCAGCAAGCCCTCATTTCCAGTGGTGCCCTGACATAAAGCTTAAGTAAAAACATCCTATAAAAAAACACTAAAAAATAAATAGAATCCAAATAAAATGCAACAATAGATATAAAAACACTTGAATCAAAATGAGTAAAATCAGTGTCAAGAGTATCCAGTGTCACACATCACCAAGAATATGTGGCACACACACATTTAAATGGTATTACTTAGATATAATTTACAGTGATGAGTCCTAAAAGGATCTACAGTGACAGATCTAATGGCAACATGATGCACTGCATCACAGGGTTTTAGAGTTGTGGCAGAGGCATGTATAAACAGTATATAACATCACCATAATCAAGTACAGATAAAACTGTTGCTAGCACCCACTGCCTCCTGTGATGCTTATTAAACAAGATGTTTCTATACAGAAATGTAAGTATAGCTTTAAGAGAGACAGTGTAATTTATAAGTCGGCTTATCATACAGCCAGATGCCAAGATGTTTGTAAGTCATTCACAGCACCATTCAGTATTTTAAGTAGTCATTTGACATGGTTTTCTTGTAAAAATCTGATACTTAGTTTTACAAGAATTTAATGTCACTTTAAGATCAAAAAGATCATGTTAAACAATGTTAAAATCAAATGTTAAATGCTGGAAGGTCTGACCAAGAGCAGTCAAATGATAGTGCCATCCATATATACATGCAGAGTACTACTACTTACTTCTGATCCTAGATCATTAACAAGGATGATGAATAAAGTGGGGCCTTAAAATGGATCCTTGTGGGACTGCTGTACTGTACAAACTCCTCCTGTAGTGCTTATAAGTTTACATTTAAGAAATTTTACCACAAGAGCTTGAGATCTCTTAGACAAATGGTAAAGCATCTATGGTATAGTATGGTAGAATAATACAGTAGGAAATAAATTTGCTTCCCTTTTTGAATTTCAGTGAAAGAAAGTGGTTTGTGAAGGTACAGACACATGCATAAAGACAAAGTTGCAAAAATATTGAGTGAACTCTGACTTTTTATTATCTTGTTATTGATGGCTCATAGGTCTCATAAACCAATATCTTGTTATCACCATTTGGCCTGAGTCTGCTGGGTCACGGGTCTGCACACTGTCTTTGCTTGTTGGACCAGTGGTATGCTTCCGGTCAGCATAGCACGCTCTGCATCACTGCATCAGTCTGTATGGTGTTTGAGTGGAAAATGTAAAATAAATAAATATATATATATGTATTGAATCACAAAATTCATAAACTGATGGAGGTGGGAGCTGCTCGTCTTGCCAGCACCTGTGATAACTTTCCAGATATGGGTTCCACTAACACTTTGCCGTTAAGCACATTGCTAGACATTACTGATGAAGTGTTCCTTTACTGCTTCAGGGCTAAGTTTTAGCTAACTTCAAGGCTACTATCAAACAAAAACCAAGAACTCTGCTTGGCTCTCGGGGAGCTGTAGTACTTTTCTAAGCCGTAGTGCATACTGATCATCAGCTGATGAGAAAATGAGAGATTCCTTCCACCCATTCATCTACACTGCTTATTCCTGAATAGGGTCACGGGGGGCTAGAGTCAATCCCAGCTGACATTGGACGAGAGGTGGGTCACCAGCCTATCGCAGGGCCAAAAGAGAGAGATTTTTTGATTATAATATTTTAATGTTCTGTGCTCCACAAATGAGATTCATTGTACTCCCATTTTATTGAGGTGCATGCACAAACCTTAGGGATTAAATCTTGGGCAAAAGAACACCCTGTGAGTCATGTAATTCCCTTGTCTAGCTACTGTTTTAAGTGCCTTTGAGCACGACACAGAGACATGATTGCAGAACACACCTCTGCACTGGGTGGCTTCTAAGCGTGAATGTGTAACCATGTGAGAATAAAGCAGGGTGTTGCTGAAAAACAGAGCTAAAAACATCAATTGTCAAATGGAAAATATAGCCTGTTACTGAGAGACAGACATGTCATCATGATAATAATCAGGATGTCACAAGCTGAGACACAGGGAGAAAAGAGCAGAATAAGACTGAAAGGGGATAAGGAGATTACTGTAGTCTGATGATGGTGGCTGCTGTGTGTTTGTGCGCCGATGAGAGAGTGGAGAGAGAGAGGGAGTGGTTGGGACACTTCAATTTAGTTAATTTGGTGTCTTGTCTAAAAGCAGCCAGTCTGAAACACAGTGAATCACTGAGTCTGCAGAGTCTGACTCAAAACCACCTGCCCAGTCTGTTGTTTGGCTGATGATGTGCCAGCGGGTACAAGTTAGTGGTTGGAAACACAGGTTCTATATGTCCACTGTTCACTTAGTTTACCAGAATTTGTCCCAATACAACTTCTCAAATAATTGAGATCAGAAATAATGAAAATTACAGCACTCTGTTCTGGTAGAACTAAAAACAAACCTGACTCAATGGGAGGAAGAGGAGTTAAACCTTATTACCATACTATTTAATGAGAGAATTAGCTGAAACAACAGGCGAGTCATGCTCACATCAGCTGTCATGAAACATTTTGAAAACACAATTACAAATTTTGTTTCTGATTCATTTAGCCTTTTCTGTATATTATTATCAGCTTTTTTGGGATCAGACTACATTATACGAGTCTGATAATCAGCAGAAATCCTTATAACAGAAAAGGCACAGGTTTTAATAACATTAATTACAGCTTTAGTCCATGAGATTTTGTCAGGAAAGACAGTGCAGTTTTGGCCTGGTTGAAAGGTTAGCTGACAACTGTGAGAGAAATGGGGTGAAATCTTTGGTCATTAATCCAAAAACAGTGGTCCTGTATCTCACAGTGACACACGGCTGTGCCAACAACTGATTTGGAGCTTTAGAGACCAAAGACAGCATGCAACAAAATTCACATAATGTGAAGGCATGTATACATGAACATAACGTTCTTGAGTACTGTGTTAGACGGGCATGAAAGAGCAGAACCTCTTCAAAAGATTTACATTTTTCAGTCAGTTCAGTTTTTCTAAATCACTTGATCAGTCCTGTGTCTTTTCATTGGTTTACAGCTGATCAGTCGGGGATAGAAACAGCCTCCACAGTACTGCTTCGTGCTGTTCAGTGTGTACAGGAGCCAGCTGAGTGAATGACCCATAGATGAGTGAATGCCCCATAGTCTTGGTTCCACAAACAAACATGTCAAATTTCAATGGCACATGGGGACTGAAAAAATGTTGATACAAACACCAGGCAACTTCCTGACATCTGGACCTGGTCTCTCCACTCCATCTGCTGGTGGGAGCAGGACAGTCCAACACTCAGACTGATCAGGAATGGAGATGGCAAGTTTACATTCCCTCTCACTCAGCCATGCCTCCATGTTTTGTTTGTCCTCCTCTCTGGGCCTTCCCTATCTGCCCTCCTGGTCATGCCCAGTCAACATTCAGGCTGATTAAGATTCAATCAGTGCTGCGAGACAAACAGACCTCACTGCTAATGAAGGCTCACTAACCTAACAAGTCATCTCTTTGTACAGTCACAGATGAGGATACAGTCAAGAGGTACTATGCCAAGTTTGAAGAGAAGTTCTTCCAGATGTGTGAAAAAGAACTGGCCAAGATCAACACCTTCTACTCTGGTAATCATTGCTCTATACACACACACAAACACACACACACACACACAGTCATCTCCTTCAGAGCTAGAGACCACTCACTTAGACATAGCTCTGACAGTGTTTTGTGGCTATTATCCTGTAGAGACTTTCTAGCTCTTAAACTGTCCTCTCCTTTCTGTCGTCTCTCCAGAGAAGCTGGCTGAGGCTCAGCGGCGATTCGCCACGCTGCAGAATGAGCTGCAGTCCTCGCTGGATGCCCAGAGAGAGAGCTCCGCCAACAGCCGGGGCCTGAGGAGGAGGAAGACGGTGTTCGCCCTGTCACAGCAGGAGCGCTGCAAACACAGAAACATAAAGGACCTGCAGCTGGCCTTCTCAGAGTTCTACCTCAGCCTCATACTGCTGCAGAACTATCAGGTGCATTTTCACACACACACACACACGTCATCTCAGCATGCAAGCAAAGAAACTCAAGGGATGCATTTCACAGCTTAATTCCATTCACAGTTTCCACATGGAGCCTTTTTATTTACTATTATTTTATTGCATTAGTTTAGACCGTGCTCACTGAGACAACAACAGAGCTATAAATGAGCCAGTATTGTCCCGACTTCTCAGTCTCAGCAGAACAGGGTTGTACTGCATGTTCAGGCTGCATTTTACCTGCTTTACTAAACATAGCTGAGCCTCATGCAGAGCTCTTTTAGCTCCTTGGCTTATTTGTAATCCCACAGTAGCTTCAATAGGTCAGATTTTTATTTTAGTAAGTGCCTTTCTCTCTGTGTCAATCTCTGTCTTTGTAGAACCTGAACTTCACAGGTTTCAGGAAGATCCTGAAGAAGCATGATAAGATTTTGGAGACGTCGAGGGGAGCTGACTGGAGGGTGGCCCATGTCGAAGTGGCTCCATTTTACACATGCAAGAAAATCACACAGCTCATCTCAGAGACTGAGGTACATGCAAATATCTAGCTGTTATGCAGCAGTATACAAGAATTTACCCACCACCTTGGCAAATCACACACACCAAATGTTACCAAGCACTAACTAACTTAGTTGGGTGTCCAAACCTTTGTTCAAGCTCCACTTAGTTTTTTTTTTTTTTTACGTTAAAGAAATAAGGAGCATGCAAACAGATTGTCTGTTTGCTGCATTTACTTGTTTTCACTTAAAAAAAAAAACAACAAAACATGTTATTAGCGTGAACTTTGCGTACACCTGTATCAATTCGCACAATCTCAACTACTTCATCAGCATGGCTGTAGCTAAACACAGTATTATTGCTAGAACACGCTCTATGTGATCTATGGTATAGTATGGTAGAATAATGTGTCAGTCTAATAGTTTAGGATTAAGAGTAAGAACAGTAAGAAGCCATCAGTATTATCAGGGGTGAACGGGCCAAGCTGCAAAGTTCTCTCTCTGTCTTTCAGGCACTGGTCACAGCAGAGTTGGAAGGTGGTGACAGGCAGAAGGCCATGAAGAGACTGAGGGTGCCTCCCCTGGGAGCTGCACAGGTCTCACACACACACACACACCCAAAGCAAACACATCATTAAATCTGTAGCCAGTATGTGATGGTGCAGTGTAACAGGAGAGGAGGCCAGCAGTAGTACACCGCTATAACAAGACACTGTAATGTTCTTGTACACACTGAGGCCCTGTTGTTGTTTTTCTGATGATGTCACGTCTCCACAAGCCACTCAGTCATTTGACCTGTTTTACATGTCCATGCTCTGGTGTGTTGTGTTCATATTGTTGTCATTATTATAGAGTGACCACTTTTAATGTGTATTTATTTTATATTATTTTAATTGACAAGCCATTTTCTTGCAGTTTCTTCGGGGGAACTGGGCCTGTGATTCTTTCTCCTTGCATGTTATCGTGCTGAGACGCTGACTGTTCTTTCTCTCTGCCAACAGCCTGCTCCTGCTTGGACCACCTTTAGAGTTGGACTTTACTGTGGAGTACTCCTTGTCTTATTAGTTACTGTGGTCATTACAGGTAACACACACAAACGCACACATTTAGAATCAGAATCGTCTTTAATTGCCAAATATGTTTGAACATACAGGAATTTGTCTCTGGTACAGAGGCTCTAAATGTGTTGTAAGGCAACAGGAATAGAAACTGAGACTGAGGACACATCTCTGTGGGGTGACGATGTTTGTGATAATGCTGGCTGAAGTCCTGTTGCCAATCCTGACAGTCTGGGGCCTGTCAGTCAGAATGTCCAGGAGCCAGTCACAGAGGGTGGGGTGCAGACCTAGTGTGGACTGAGCTCATTACTTTTCATCTGATCTTTCTAGTGCAAAGTAGAGTAGCAATATATGATGTTAAATTAGCATGACCTGGTTCACGTAATGGTCTGAATTCATCAGTACCATTTGAAAAGTAGTTATATTGTGAACTTTGTAGTGATGGTGTTACAGCATTTAAAAATATTTCACTGCAGCTGTAAGGTTGAGACTCTGCATTACTGCTTGACCAAAGTGACATTTCCTGGTTTGCAAAAAACAAGCTACTGTCTTGTAAAATGGTTTATAAGTTGACACTGAAGGATGTGGTCTAGGTGTTCTCCCTCTCCTCCTCTGGCTCTGCACTTCTTTCATCTTTATACTCTCTCTCTGTCATCTGCCACACTGTCTCATCATCTCTTCCTGTCATCAGGAATTGTGGTGATTCGTAAGGATGATGTTTGGCCCATGGTCCGGATCTACAGAGGAGGCTTCCTGTTAATAGAATTCCTCTTCCTGTTAGGTATACACACACACACACACACACACACACACACACACACACACACACACACACACACACTTCCCTACCCTCTAATCTTACATGACTGTCCCACTGTCTGTCTTCAGAATGATCACACAAAACACAAGCGCAGCCATCTGTCTGACCCTCTGTGTGTTAATAGTTGTTTTTTTTCTTCCAGGCATCAACACCTACGGCTGGAGGCAGGCAGGAGTTAACCACGTACTCATATTTGAACTTAACCCCAGAAACAACCTGTCCCACCAGCATCTGTTTGAGGTCTGAACATGCCAGAATGTTAACTAACACAACAATGACTCAAGACATTCAGGCCCTAGTGAAATATGGAAATAAGCTGACTTTCCATGAGCATCTGTTTGTTACTATTTGTGCACCTTCATATGCTGTATATTCATTTGTTTCTCAGCTTTACCATGGTCTGATGAATCTCCCTGCCTGTGTGTGTGTGTGTGTGTGCAGATTGCAGGTCTGTTGGGGGTGCTGTGGTGCGTCAGCCTGCTGGCCTGTCTCTTCAGTGACAGCATCTTTGTGCCAATGCAGGTGAACCCTCTGGCTCTCTACGGCTTCTTCCTCCTCTTCCTCATAAACCCCTTCAAGACCTGCTACTACAAGTCACGCTTCTGGCTGCTCAAACTCCTGGTAATTTCACTCAATAAAAATAACATACACACTTTGTATTTTTTTATTTTTATTGATGTCTTATTTTGGTGAAGAGCTTAGTGCTGCAAATAAGTTGTTTTATGATCATATATTCTGCTGATTAATCTTTTAATGGAGCAATGAATCATTTATTCTATGAAACGTAAATTAATTGTGGGGAAACATGTTTTGTTTTATCCAGCCAAGTGTTCAAAACCCAAAGATATTCAGTTTACTGTGAAATTTGACAAAGAAAGGCACACCCACTGCGTGTCCTTCCTCTCATTTGAGACTCACAAACTACTCCCCTGACACCTTATGTTTGACTGGGATGTGTCTGAAACTTTTTTGTAACTTTCTGAAACAAACTATCCAGCAATCCGGCCCACTCTGCTCAGTGATTGACCAGGGTGTGCCAGTGTGATGCCTAAGAATCAAAGATGTTAACTTTTTCTCAAACTTTTTTGTTTATTTTTCACACAACTTATTCTACAACTAAAACCACCTGAGCATCCTTGAGGAGACACTCTCTGAAAAGGTGCAGATGTCCAAGTTCTTCTGTTCAGCTGCTGATCGTGTCCATCTCCTTTGGTTTGTTGTCTTCCTCCACAGTTTCGTGTGGTGACAGCCCCATTTCATCGTGTAGGCTTTGCAGACTTCTGGCTGGCTGACCAGCTCAACTCCCTGGTGGTGGTTCTGATGGATCTGGAGTACATGATCTGTTTTTACAGTTTTGAACTGGACTGGAACAGCCGTCATGGACTCCTCAGAAGTAAAGGTCAGACTGTAAGACTGTGTGCTAGCACGAGACTTGAAAGCAAACCACTGCCCACCTACCTTTGTTCCGCTCCCCCAGCCCTTCACATACTGCATATCCTCACTGTTTCAGCTGTCTCAGATAATGCAGGAGTCAGCAGCTTGCTACTCTGTGAGTCAGCCATAGTGATGTCTTCCAGCAGCTTGAAGCCTGTGTGAGACGAGTAGTTGACCAGAAGCTTTTTCATATGTTGATTGACAGCTGTGAGCTCCCACTCATGACTTTGGTCCTCTCTTATTGGTTAGAAGGGAATCATTAGGTTGTGCACTACTGCCAGGCTGTTCAGTGAGTCTGGGTCCTTTGGCCTTTGACAGCACTTCTCCACATTACATGTTAGTTTATTTTTGTTAAAACTATTAGAAAAAGTTAGTGTGGATAAAGTGATGAATTTCCAGGATGTTAAGACTGATCCAGTGGTGATGGGCCCACACCTGATCGAGACCACACTCCATGCGTGTCATTCTTTACAGGTAAAGACGTGTGTAATTCCTACTCCTACGGTGTCCGTGCAGTGATCCAGTGTCTTCCTGCGTGGTTCCGATTCATCCAGTGTCTGCGACGTTACCGTGACACCAAACGGGCCTTCCCTCACCTGGTTAACGCTGGGAAATACTCCACTTCCTTTTTTGTCGTCACCTTCAGTGCCCTCTACAGCACACATAAAGGTAGAGCGGACACTTATGTACAGTGCACGTTTGCTGTATTCAGTGCATTGAGGAAAAATCTTACACATACAGTATATGCATTACAGAGCACACCAGGTGTTTTAAGTGAACCAGACATTTATTTCTACCTTTCCTTGCATGTTTTTGCATAATTTAAAGTAATAAACTACCACTCATATGTTTCACATTCAAAGACCTCCAGCTGCTCAGAGAGAATAATTTCTCTCTTTACCATCAAAATGGACTCATGCTTTTACAAGCTGCTGGATCAGTTTGAGCATACTGGTCATTAATTTTCCATCTTCTAGATCTTTCAAGGATAAGGCCAGTGTTTTTTTTTGTTTTTGTTCTTTTCAAAACATCCCAAACAGAAAAACCAGCAATGCATTTTGTGTACCTGCAGTAATGTCTGTGAAACCGGAGCCTGGTTTTGCCTGGTTTTACCAGCCAGCATATGCATGTGAGAAACATGTCACCCAGTTCAGCAGTATGGCTCACTGGTGTGCTTTTCATAGTTTGTGGACAGCAGTGGAGGTCTTCAGCACAGACCAGTAAGCTAGGCTCCAGGTTCTGGATCCATAGACATTATGGTGAGTACATAACATTCATCGTTGGTTTTAGTCTCTGAAGGGGGTGCTTTGAAATGAACAAAAACATTGAAAATCACTGGGCTTATCCTTCAAACCCCCCACATCATCAGCAGTCAACAGTATTGTCTGACAGCTGACTGTCAGCTAAAAAAACTAAATAGACATTGACAGTGTTATTTCCTCCAGTGCTCCTGGTGAAGCTGAAGTGCTTCTGTTTGGTCCCTGTATACTGTACGTAGTGTAAAGCAGCCAGGATAATAGCAGCAGTATTTGACAGAAAGATAGAAGAGATGAGTATTTAACCTTTAATGAATAATTCCTATGTAGAAGATAAAAGTGGCCATTTTGAAATGGTCGTGCACATGGTTTGCTCTTCTCCTTAAAGTGAAAAATACAGGGGTCTGGTTATTTATTCAGCTTTTCCATTTTTAAACCTACAAATCTGATGCTGTACCAGCTGTCTAACCTCATGTTATTCACATTCTCTCTCTCTCTCTCTCTCTCTGTCTGTGTGTGTCCCCAACCTCACCCCTCCTCCCACCTCAGATGAAGCCCACGGTGACGCCCAGATCTTCTTCTACTTGTATATCTGCTGTTTAGTGGTTAGCTCTTGTTATACTCTGGTCTGGGATCTGAAGATGGACTGGGGTCTGTTTGACCGCAATGCAGGAGAGAATACCTTTCTGAGAGAGGAGATAGTCTACCCACAGAAGGTATTTCTGTACACAGGGAGGAACCTCCATGTGTTGTAGGGCATAGGCTCATACACTAGTTTGACCCAATATAAACATGGAATCTGTCATATATTATGTGTTTCTGTTCTGTCTCTCCCTCCAGGCCTACTACTACAGTGCCATAGTGGAGGATGTGCTGTTGCGTTTTTCATGGACTTTAACGGTCTCCCTCAGCACAGTCTCTGAGTTTAATAACATCTCTGACATACTGGCTACTGTGCTGGCCCCAATGGAGGTCTTTAGGTAAACACAGTTTTCTGACTTTTTACTTTTATTTATTTTTGTTAGTTTTTCACAGCGTGACTAGTGTTTCCGCTACTGCAAAACTATTGCCACCGCTGCTTCAGAATTTTATGAAGTATCATAACATCCCAATTACACAACCCTGTTGAGGGCTTTTAATTTGAAACAACGGATACAGGAAGTGGAGACAGGAGGGACTAAAAGAAAGAAAAGAGAGGACGGTAGATTGAACTTTAAATCAGACAGATCTGACAGTTTATCACTGACAACCCATTGGATACAGTATGTCCAAATTCATTGGAAACTCACATCCCTTACTCTTGGCTTCATATCTCACGTAGTAACTCTATTCATTCCCTCTTTGTGAATCGCTTGTAAAAATAAATGGTGTGACCAGCCCTTTCCAATGATGCTAGTATACTCACTAGTCTGTGAAATGAATGTTTGTGAAATAATCAGGGTTTGAAATGACATAAAACACAAGTGATAGGCTGTCGTATCAGATTATGGTAGATTTGGATAGTCTTGACTGTCCTGGAAAACATTTTGTGGTGTCTGTTTGATATTTATTTATTACTGCTAGTTCTCATTATATGTGTTCGAATCTTGTTTTGCAGCTGAGTTTTACTTTGTTTTTTAATATTATACATTGAAATTCAGGATGCGGTGATCTGGAATGTTCTAAATTACAGGGCTCACAGAATTAGCTACTGTGAGACAGTTATTAATGCTACAGTCATGCAATTAAGATCTAATTCCTCCTGAAACTGCTGATTCAGTAGGGTGTCAACAGACTTGATGTATCTTCAACAGTTGCTGTGCTAAATCCTGAAAAAAAAAAACACCATTAATGAAATATTGTTTTTCTTGCATAACTTTCAGATTACTAATGATATCAGTGTGAGTCCGAATGCCAGCGATAGGTTTTCATGGTCAAGAATCATATTATGAGGGTCAAACTATCATGGGAATATTGCTTTAAATGTGTAGTTGCATTTTGTTGAAGCTTCCCTGGCGGAGGTTTGTGCTCTCTGAGTGCCGTCTAGTCTTTATCCTGTCCATTTAATCCCGTTTTTTCCTCCTGCTGTTGTTTTGCTTCCCAGCCTTTCTATGCTTCTCCTGCTGTTGTGCAGATTTGGCACAGTTTTATTAAAGAG